CCCCCCCAATGTTATTGGAAAAAATGTGGACATTCAGTTCTTTTTGTCTTGAAAGTTGAAGCTTCTTTGAACACATTTAAGAAACGAGCGTTAAGTGTGTTACTTTTAAGTGGAAACGTTTAATTGATTTTGTGTCGATAAACGTCTGAAGATTTAAGCTTTTTTACACAGAAAAACAGAATAAAGTGCAGCTTATATTTAGCTTGTAAAAGTCACACAGCAGGGCGTTCTGAGCGCTGATGATTTCTTGTTTCACTTCAGCGAGCTCATCAGTACCTGGTGAGCAAAGGAAAGTCCAGCTCTGACCCGAGGCTGTTCAAGAACCAGCTCAACTTGATCTGGTTCCACCTTTACCATCGGCAGAGGAACACCGGGTGAGAGCCTGCATGAGTCACCACCTCTGCCAGGATCTGTGTCCCCCTAAACGTTATGATCCAAAGAGCAAACATCGTGAAAACCTCTGGAACAATTAGCCATGAAAACAGTTTGATGTTTTTTTATTGTCTGTCCAAAACAGGCTGTTTAATTGCTAAACAGTTAATGCAATATGAATTTGAACAGCTGGCATTTGCAGAAAGCAGGAAAACAACAAGCTGAAATAGGCGGAGGGAGGTGGAACAGTCACCAAAAAAAAGCAGAAAATAAACTAAAATGAGCAGGAAAATGCTGAAATTAGCAGAAAGAGGCAAAAAGGAGCATAAAAAAGTAGAAATTATTAAAAAGAAGAACAGAAGGTGGAAATGAGCAAAGAATAAGTAGGCTATAATAAATAAAAGGCTAAAATTAGCCAAAAAATACCTAAAAAGTAGCTGAAATAGCAGAAAAAAGCTCAATTTAATAGAAGCTGAAAGGATCATAAAAGCTGAAATTAACAGAAAATAGCTAAAAGGAGCTGAAGGAAGCTAAGATTATCACAAATAAACTGAAAAAAGCTGAAATGCGCAGTAAAAGGTTTTAGTATATTAAGGAGGTGAAGAGAGCTCCGTACATTTTTCAATGAGAAAAACATGGCCGACCAAGCTAAATATTTCAAAAAGTAAAAACTGTAGAAATATCAAAATTCACAGCCTGAATGGCCTAAGTAAGCTGAACATGTTGAGATATGAATTGTTGAAATAGCACAAAGATTGTTGGGATGAGTTTATGTATGTGCTGAAAAACATCCATCCATCCATTATCTTTTACCACTTCTTCCTTTTTGGGTCGTGGGGGTCACTGGTGCCCATGCCCAGCAATCACTGTGCGAGGGGCGGGGGGACACCCTGGACAGGTCTCCAGTCCATCACAGGGACACATAGAGACAAACGAGACAAACAACCATTCACTCTCACTCACACCTAGGGACAATTTAGAGTTACCAATCAGCCTAACATGCATGTTTTTAGTCTGTGGGAGGAAACCGGAGTACCCGGAGAATACCCACACATGCACGGAGAGAACATGCAAACTCCACCCAGAATAGCCCCCGGACCAGGATTTGAATCAGGATAACCTGCTCGCTGAGAGGCAGCAGCTCTACCAACTGCACCACCGTGCTGCCCACTGAAAAACATACAAAAAAACTGGATCTCAACACTGAGAATGATTTATAAACCTTCACACAGTAAACTGATAAACATGTGACTCTCTTTAGTTTGGTTGAAGTCCATGTCCCTTCCTATCTGAAGATGAGTTTAAACTCTGGTGTGAAAGACTTTTATACATTTGTTTTATACATTTGTTTTATACATTTGTTTTATACATTTGTTTTA